GTAAGGACTGCAGGTATTTTGTATCACTGATGTCTTTTAATGAAATGTCAGTAAATTCTTATGCTGACGTGACTTGTGAAGAATTAAAGCAGATTTTTCTTTTTTCATGGCATTGGCTTCTTTCTTTTTTTAAATTGTGGTAAAAATATATGACATAAAATTTGCCACTATAATCATTTTTAAGGGTACGATCCAGTGGCATTCATTACATTCACAATGTAATTAACTGCAACCTTCACACTATTTCCAAAACCTTTTCATCTCCCCAAATAGAAACTTTGCACCCATTAAGCAATAACTCCCATGCCCCTTCCTCCAGCTCCTGGTCACCTCTTTCTGTCTCTATAAATTTGTCTATTCTAGATATCTCATATATGTGGATAATACAATATTTGTACTTTTGTGTTTGGCTTATTTCACTTAGCATAATGTTTTCAAGTTCATGCATGTCATAGCATGTATCAGAACTTCATTCCTTTATATGGCCGTTTTACATTTCCCAGATGATCCAGTGGAAATTGGTAGTAGTGTGGTCACTCACGTTTCTCTACCTTGGTTCTTGGCTGCTTCTCAATATTCAGCTGCTTTATGTATCCTTCCTTCTATGTAATCATTTTTTATGAGTGCCATCATGGTTACATTTCAGTGCGCTTTGAATTTGATCATCAATATTAATGCTTTACTGTTGCATTTTTCTTCGTTTCCAAATCACCTCAATTTGCATGCTCTGTAAAGCACTTGGCTGCTAACCAAATGGTCAGTGGTTTGAACCCACCAGCTGTACTATGGGAGAAAGATGAGGCAGTCTGCTTCCATAAAGATTTACAGCCTTGGAAACCCTCTGAGGCAGTTCTACTCTGTCCTAGAGGATTGCTATGAGTCACAATGCATCCCATGGCAGTGGTTGTTTTTGTTTCATTTGGTTGCTGCTGAATCCAGATAGAAACCAACTGGAAAAAGTGGAAAGTTTACCTTCATTTCTACTGCAGCTGTGCTTTGAATTGAGCGCACTGTTGGCAACACTGGAGACCCAGCTACCCACTCAGTTCCTTGTGCTGCCCAAGGTTCCTGTGACATCGGTGGACCTTGGCTGCTTGTGGAACTGAAGTAGCTCAATAATGAGAGAAGACCAGTCCCTGGAGGTATTTATTCCAGTGCCGTAGCTCATGGTTTCTGCTCCCAATGTTAATGCATGAAAGCAAGGAACAGCCTTGCCCCTTTTTGGAAAATGCGTAGCCTTTACCCTTGCCAAGCATTGTGCTCTGTGCATTTTACATAAGGTCTCAGTTAGCTCTCACATCAACCCTGGGAGGTATCTTCACTTTACGGATGAAGAAAGCAAGTATCAGAGATGCTCAGAAATTGCCCAAGATCACACAGCTAGTAAATGAAGGAGCAAACTATTTCCAAGCCCACTTCCCTTCCACTGCCTTCCATCCTGCCTTTAGAAACAGTACTACATCATCTTTCTATTTCTATTGACACTATCGCTAGAGACCCAGGGCACCCAAACGTGTTTGCTGTCCCCAGTTCTGACTCACAATGACCCTATGCACAACAGAGCAGAACACTGCCTGGTCCTGAGCCAACCTCACAATCGTTGCTGTGCCTGAGCTCATCATCACAGCCACTGTGTCAACCCATCTTGTTGAGGGTCTTACCCTTTTTCTGTTGACCCTCTACTTTACCAAGTGTGATATGCTTCCTCAGGGATCGATCCTAGCAACTAGCAGTTCAGAGGAGAGGACAGTCTCATCCCAGAGCATTCTGATGTCTACAGTGTTGCCAGAGAGGGACCTGATAAACCCTTCTGCTGTGCCCATCCTATCCTCCTACACCTGCTGGAGAGTTTTGTTGCTTCAGTCATTTTATGCTTCCAAAAATATTCATTTGGCAAATAGTTTTCAGCCACCATATAGAAACCATGGTGGAAAACTTGTAGGGGGTAGAGATGAGAGAGAGGTGTCCTGACTCTCCAATGGGGCAATTTGACATGTCTCTAATAACCGCAAAAGGGGGGGTGTGCCACACACAAGAGATGACCCACCCCAGTGTGAAGAGGGCAGAGAAGAAGCTAATTTTGTTAGTTCAGGGAACAGAGCTGGTAGGATTCAACATTTTGGGGTGGGGAGAGGGACACCCAGACTAGTGTCCCTGGAGCTGTGCTGTGTACTACCTGTGTAGCAGGATTTAGGAGCTCTGGTGGATGTTCTCAGGGGGTGAGACATCCTAAGTTCTCTCTCAGCTGAGGATTATGCCTAACTGTGTAACATGCCAAGAGACCAGTGGGCATCCTTTAGACACCTGCCCATCAGGGGCTTCCTGTGCGTCTGCTGAACATTCCATTGTTTGCTGTTGCCATTTTGAAGAGTGATTTTTGTCAGCAGGGCCTAGCCTGTCCACCTAGGTATGGGTATACGTGGAGGTGGAGGTGTGATGGCAGGAGGGATTTGAACTGGGTCCAAAGAGTAGCTTTTCTGGTTCTTTTGAGAGACTTGACTAGAGCTTGGAGCATCTTGCACTGTAAGTACCTGGACTTAATTTGGGTGTGCAGACCTTAAGTTTCTAAACCCTTTGCAAGATAAGAGTGGGGATCAATATGGTTGCTACACTCAGGCTCTTGTGTAGCCTGACAGTGGCATGGGTGGAGGGACAGAAACCTGTCCAGGCCTCATGACAATCAAGTGAAGAGTTATCTTTGATGTCCTTTGCCCTGGCAGCCGGGGACCAAGTCCTTTAATAGTCACTCCTTCAGAATCTCTCCCACCTTCTTCATTTCAGTCCCCCCACCCTCCACACACACACACACACACACACACACACACTGCACTAGATCTTCCTACCCAGAGGGCTGGTGCTGGTATCTCTTCTTCCATCCAGTGCTCACCTGACTCTTGGTCTCATTCTCCTGAAGCATTTCTCTGCTATCCACAGCTCCAGTGGGAAGACCTTCGAGAGCTCCCTATGGCCTGCCCACCTAGGTGCAAATATCTATTCAGGCCTCGAAGCCCATGGTGGTATGGTTACAACTGTCTGGGACCCTCTACTCTAGCCAAACAAAAGCACTTTCTGCTCCCTATGTGGCCTGTCATTTTCGTCCTTGTCTTGATTCACCCTGTGCCAGCCACTTGGGAAGCTCTCCACAGCGCTGCTGACACCCATCCCTACCTATCAGATGCCTCCATTTCTAGGGCTCCACTCCAATGGCAGTGCCACCTGCCCTGAAGTTTGCCCTTTTTTGAGTGTGCTTGGGCAAATCTGAACTGTTCTTTTGTGTGTACATATTTTACGTGAATAGTCTTGTGTTTTGTATCTCAAGTAACACCTCTCTTTTCCCACTCAGCACCCTACTGTTGAGATCTATCCATGTTGCCATGTATACCTCTAATCCATTACTTACAGCCTGACATCCTCCTGTCCACTCCCCCAGTGATGAACACTCAGGTTGCTCCCAGCTGCCCATCACCACAGGTAACATTGCAATGCACAATAGTTACAGTAGCCCTGGTGTCTTCATAAATCATTTCTCACATTCTTCTCATGTGCCAGACACTTATCAGACCATTCAATCCTTTAAATAACTCTATGAGATAGGAACTATTGTTACCTCTGTTTTATAGATGAGGAAACAAAGGCAAGAGAGGTTTGATAACCCAGTACAAGTCCCTATATAGACCTGATATAAGCCTAGGAGTGGCATGGGGAGGCCACAGAATGTGTGTGCACTTAGTTTAACTCAGTAGACTTGGTCAAATTGGTGTGTGAGAGTTCCTGTAGACCAGGCCCACATCAGCACAAACACACACTGAACACAGCACAGTGGTTGCCTTTGGGAGACTGAGGGGAACAAGAGTGTGTAAGGGTATAAGAGAGAATCAAGGAATATATGAAAACAAGAAGGGCCCTACAAGGGCCAATAAGCACAAGGCAACATGGATCAAGGAATATGATAACTCAGTTCTTACTGGAGGTTTTCCCACTGAACCCTGGTCTGACCCGACCTGGCGCTCCCACTCTGACTCCCTTCCGGTCAAACAGGTGTGTTCGTTCCTGCCTTTAAACCAACTCCCCACCCCCAATGCCCTTTGCCTGTATCTCTCAAAAAACACATCCCTGGTCTCCTGCCACTGCGATCTGGGTGCTTGTCTTATTTTCTGCCCTCTCCTGGGAGCTCATCAGAGGCAGTGTCTGTGTCTTAGTTACTGCTGATTCCTTGGAGACCAGAATAGTAGCTGGCATGCAGTAGGTGCTCAAAATGGCACTGCTGGAAGAATGGATAACGGGTGACTCAAAACACTTATTGGCTTTATTGAGTTAAAAATTATTTGTGGGATAACCCCTTGTGCACACACACTCACACATATACACACTTGAACTAGTGGAAACAAGAGAGAGGGACACTGAATTATTAAGGAAGAAAATAATAGTATTTTAGGAAGAGAAGTGGATTCTTGAATCAGACAGTAATGAGTTTAATCCTAGGCTCTGGCATTTGTTATTCCTGCACACTTGGGAAAATATCTTAGCCTCTTGGTGCACCATTTTATTCATCTGTAAAATGGAGACAATCATAAATTCTGCACAGGGTTGTTGTGAAGATTAAAACACACACCATGGGAAAGCCCAGGAGGATGCCTGGCTCACAGAAAAAAAAATAAAACCCACTGCCATTGAGTGGATTCCAACTCATAGTGACCCCCATAGAGTTTCTTTCTTTTTTTAATTGTGATTTGGGTAAAAATTTACAGAGCAAATTTACTTTCCATACAGCAGTTCACATACACTTTGTCTCATGACATTGACCACAGTTTACCACAATGCAACAGCTCCCTTCCCACTTCCTCCTGCTAATTACCTCTTCCCTGTGTCCATCCCTCCATTCACTCCTGGCCCCTGAGCTGCCTCCCTGTGCATAAGCAGCCCTTCTTTCTCCCATGACTGTTCTCTCCAAGGAGTGTATCTACCTCAGGTAAATGTTCAACTTATATGCCTGTCTTTTGTTTGGCTGGAAGCCACAGGTGTGTGTTCAATTCCAGACCTGAAGGGTAGCTAGGGGCCATAGTCTCAGTGGTTCCACCAGGTTCCCATAGAGTTTCGAAGACTGTAAATCTTCGTGGAAGCAGACTGCCTCATCTTTCTTCCACAGGGCAGCTGGTGAGTTTGAACTGCAGACCTTTGCTTAGCAGCCTAATGCCTTCACCTTAGCACCACCAGACCTTCTAAGAAAGGACCCTTTCTTCATGGCTGCCATTTCCACCTCAGAGGAGGGAGCTGCTGGTGGTCTCCTCTGGTCTGTCTCTGGACCCACCCACAGAAACTCCTTCCCACACAACGTTCCTAAAAAGCCAGTTACCCCTTGTTCTTTTTCATATTTGTCCACAGCCCAGCATCTCTTTCAGCTAAGAGCTCACATGTACCAGGCCCGGGGCCTCATCGCAGCTGACAGCAATGGACTTTCCGACCCCTTTGCCAAAGTCACTTTCCTTTCCCACTGCCAGACCACAAAGGTAAGGAGGACAGCCCAGCCTGCCTCCCCACCCCTCCCACAATGCACATGGATCCGTAGTATGTCAGGGCAGAGCAATAGCCCACCAGGCCAGTACCGTCTCTCGTGCCTGCAGGTGCCTCAGACTCAAAGCATAGGTGGGCAAGGAACGGCTAAGGTGGGAAGGTCTATTGTTCCCCTGCCACCCATTGTCCTCTGGTAAAGGGAGTAAGAGCCCAGCAGGAAGTTGGGAGGAAAAGAGACATGAGGAGGAGCAAAGGAAGCTGGTACTGCTAAGCCCCTGCTGACGCACCAAGTGCAGCAGGGAATGGAAAAACACAGACACACACTCAGGAGTCTCCCAGCCAACCATCGTTGAGAGCTCTCTGAGGGGAGGAAACTCAGAGCACCCCAGACTTTGCATGGTCGCTGCATTTACCAGCTGGGGCTAGGAGCATTTACCACCTCTGGGCTTCAATGTTCCCCTCTTCTGCAAAGTACTACTTGGTGTGGTTGTTGGGGGATTAAACACACGTTCCCTCCCTTCCTGCTCCCTTCCCTATGCAACTGGTGCTGAAACTGGAAATGAAAGGGTCTCCAATCAGCAGAAGCCCCCCATGATGCCTTTCTCTTTAGGTCATAGTTTCTCAGGATTCACTCTGTTCTCTGGGGATTCTCTGTCTGAGAGAGTTCACCCTGCAAATTAGTCCTTTATATAGAGACTTAATGGTCCAAGATATTTCAAAGAGGGGAATCCAGTTATTCCAGAGGTCACTGAGGGTATGGGACTTAGAATCTTATGGCCACCAAAGGATAAAGGGAAAGGGAGAAAGTTCCCAATGAGAAAGGCTCTGAGGGTAGAAGGGGAGAGGAACAGAGGGGCTAAGAGGAAGTACTAGAGGAAAAGGAGAGGGAACTTAGAGAGTGGGAAGCACCAACCCAAGATGCCAAACTATTAGATTGATCCTTCGTCCTGCAGAGGGTGGTGGGTCTTGTTAGACTAGATTGCCCCCAGTGCACCAGGCTGGTACAAAGATTTACTTGTTTATAAAAAAGTGTAGGTGGGATGGAGTGGGAGGGGCAAAACGCACTTAATGAGCACCTACTATGTGCCAGGCACTTAATACATTTTATCAAAGACAACGATCTTGTTGTTGTTGTTGTTATGTGCCGTCAAGTCAGACCCGACTCATAGCAACCCCTCCTTGGGTTTC